TCGGCACGTCCCAGCGGGCAATTCCGTGCGAGTCTGCGACTTGGGCGGGCGCGGTATCATGGCAACGTCGGGGACGGTAGACTTGTGAAGGAATACGGCAGCTAAAGAGGCTCATATGGGAAAACATTAAAGTAACCTCTGGAAAACCTGAAAGTAACTCCTGGCAAATTCATAAATGCATGGATTTTTTAAAACTCCAAGTAAGTACGAAAGCACGGGGCCGAGGAAAGCGAGGCGCGAGGTTGCATCGAGAGCTCCCCCGCGCCATCTGCGGGCACCCCGCGCGCCTCTGCCGCCAAGGGCGCTGCGCCAGATCCGCTCTTATGGGGCGTAGTGCGCGCGCCCCGAAGCCCCCAGGGCACGCTTCTGCACAACCAAAGTCAAACGCAAAAAAACGGCCCCATCGACGCCCGACTCAAAGCCTACTGGGCTGAGTCGGGGGAGTCGCCAAGCGGAGGCGCGCCTCGCGCCCGAGCGGGTCCAAAGCCGAGGCCCGCCTCCCGAGGGAGGGAAGGCGAAACCGCCGCGCGAACGAGCTAGAGGGCGCAACGGGGCACTCGCGCGCCCCTCAGGAACAAGGAACGCCGAGACTTGGCCCCCAGGGGCCCGCCAGCCGTTCTTGAACCAAAATGGCAACGGCGGATGGGGGGAGGGGGGGGGAGGGCGCGGGCGGAGGCGAGAGCGAGGACGGGGAGGACGACAACGGGGGGGAGATGGGGGGAGAGGACGAGGGGAAGAAAAGCGAGCACGACAGCAGGGGGGGGGGGAAGGGCGACGACGAGGGAGATCCCCCACAAGTGCGGCCGCGGCCACCCGTCGGCCTCGACGCAGGGCCCAGGCCCGCGGGGCGGGCGGAGAGGGGGGAGGAGGGATGATGAAGGTCAGGGGTAGCGGGACGGGAGATTAAGTGGAAAAAGAGGGGGCAGAAAGGCGATGAGGAGGAGTGGCCAGGAACGGCGGAGCAAGGGAGCGGGCCTCCCTCCTGCGCGCCATCTCGCCCACTCCCCCTCGTCCACCACCCTCCCCCATTGCGTGACGTCGTTTGTGGTGTTGGTTTTTGCGCTGATGCATGCGGTGCTCCAGCGTGGCGGCGCTGTCGGTGGCGCGGCGCCGTCCACGCAGCAAGCAAACTTGGTCGTGCGAACGTGCCGCTGGTGCCCGTGGTTGGTGCTTGCGTGTGCATGTTTGTGAACATAGCATAACATAACATATCAAACTTATACAATAACATGTGCACCACATACCACATGGGCTGGCCCCGTCGCTCTGACAGCGAGCTCGAGGGCTGGCGGTGGCTGGCAGGGCGTCGCCTACCTACGTCTTCTTGAGGGCCTGCATCGCCCTGACGAGCAGCACAGGGTGGAGAAGCTCCTTCTCCTTTTTCATTCCCGTCTCCTTGCGGAAATGAAGCATTTCGCTCTGGACGGCATCACGGAGCGGACCGAGGTCCGCGATGGTCTTGACTTTGTGGCAGAGGATGCCGCTGAGCTTCGTGATGTGGCCATTCAGGATGGTGTTCTGCACTTTGCCAACGAGGTGTGCGTCGGGCTCGCCACCGCCAACTGCGGCAACAGCGAGGTACATCTGGAGGGCCTCGCGATGCCGCAAGCGGCGAGACGCGGCCATCGTCCTCCCGTTGCCTCCTTCCTCTCCTCGCCTCCTGCCTCTCCTTGCCGTCTGATTCCCTCTCCCGCCTCTTCTCCTTCCTTCCTCGCCTTGCCTCCTTCCCCCTTGCGTCCTTCCTCTCCGTGCCTCCTTCCTCTCCTTGCCTCATTCCTCTCCTTCCTCTTTCTCCCCTCTCCTTCTAGGCCCGCCGTGCGAGACGCGGCCCTCCTCCTCCTCTCCTTGCCTCCTTCCTCCCCTCGCGCTCTCCCCCGCAACGCCTTCTTCGTCTCGTCGATGCAAGACCCGAGCGCCTTGGGGTTGAGCGTGAGCAGCGTCACCTCGGCGTGCGCCAGGAACCCGTCCCAGCTCTTGCCTGTGAACGTCTCATGCCACGGGATCGTCTGGTCGCCGTCGCCCAGCTGCGTGCCCTTGGCCATGTCGGCCAGGCAAGTGGCCACCTTCACGAGGCCAGCAGTCGTCCCAGCCAGGTTGGCGCTCAGGATGCTGCGCAAGCGGTCCGAACTCTCGGCGTAGAAGGCCTTGATCCTGTCGGCGGTGTAGCTGGCCGCGGGTGGCATTGTCAAGCTCAACTCGGCGAGCTCAGACGCCGTCTGGGTGAGTGCCTCGAGCTTAGCAGGGAACTCAGCGAACGCCGAGATGCCCTCGACCAGCTCATCCTTCGTGCGCATGTCGGCGAGGGGCGTCATCATGCCCCATGCGTCCAGCATGTTGACCGTCTTCTGCAAGTGGGCGACGTAGAAGGTCTGGCTGGCGCGGTCACCCAAGAGCTGGGTCAGCTTGGAGGCGAGGTCCAGGACGTGCAACGCGCCAGCCATGTTGAGCAAGCCGACGTTGGCCATTGTCATCTCGTACGCCACCGACTCGGACAGCGCCATGGTGCACTCTGAGATGGTCGCGACCTCGGCATCCTTGAGGGCGCTGCACTCGATGAATGCGCCACCCACTGCGTTGAACAACGGCTGGATCTTCGACGCGACGAGCTCCAACGTGGATGCCTGTGGACCGCGCGTGGCGACGTCGAGGACCACCTCGCACAGCATGCAGATCGCCTCGATCTTGGAAGCCTGGTCGAACTTGGCCAACGACGCAGCGCTCTGGGTCTTCCACTCGTCCACCTGCCTGTCGTGCGGCAGCAACGCGGACGCCTCGGCGAGCACGGCACTCCACCTCTGCATCGTATCTGGCCCCGCAACAGAGGCAGCGACGCGGGCGTGCTGTGCAGCGAGGGCGGCTGCCATCTTAGCGTCCAGGAAGTTCACCGACTGAGGGCGCAATTGGGCCTTCATGATGGACACCTCCTTGATGTGCTCGGCCAGCGTGTCGTATGTGTCCGCGCCTGCCTCGAAGGTGTCGGCCCAACTGCTCAGCTCGGCGACGCGCGCGTGGTACTTGAGCAAGCCAGGGGCGTACTCGATGTAGTCGGACAACATCTGGGAGTACCACGTGTCGGAGTCGACCGCCGCGGCAACGACCGTCAGGGGCGACCTGGTCGTCTTGCCAATGGCGGCCTTGAGGCGCTGCACGCACTCCTATGGCCCCCTCCAGGGGTCGGGGCCAAAGCAACGTTCAGTTCGGCGTGGTGGTTTGTTTCGGGGGGGCGGCTACGACCCAGCGAGGGTCTGGACGTAAGTATCGGCTGCGTTCAGCGACCGCTGATCTGGCCCGACGGAATTGCAGGACACACCAAAAACGCCACTTGAAAGTACGCCCGCCCCTAGCTCCAAAAACGCAGCCGCGCGTGTTCGAGCCCGCGCGGGCGCGAAAGCCCGACGAAAACTAGGACCTTCAGGGACCGAAAACAATGGTTGAGGACGTTTGGCCCTGGGGCAAGTACCGAACACCAACGCAGATGAAATGAAACAACCACGCTGGAATGCGGAAAAGCTCCTCCTGGCCACTAGCGCAAACTAGGTGGGGTGGTGGTCTGGGCCCGAGAATCCTCCAGCTCGGGGTCCAGATCCAAGCACACGAGGGCGTGCACGGCCTGCCACGCGTCGAGGCACTCCGATATGCACGCGCCCGCGTTCGCGTCGAGCTCCAAGATGTCGACGTCCTTGAACCGATCGACGCAGAACTTCAAGTAGGTCTCCACCTGGGCGCGTGAGTCCATGCCCTTGGCGAGCATTGGGAGCAGCATCGCATCAACTGAGATGTGAACCAACAACCTCGTCTTGGCGCCCATCGGCAGCTCGATGTCACTCAACCGAGGGTTCTCAGGGTCGAAACCTGAGGCCAGCTCTGAAGTAGTGAACGGGTCCAGGGCATCAAAGAGACCGATCATATTCCCCAGCTGCTGCTGGTCAGCGATCTTCATGTGCAAGAGCTTCTCGCTGGTGCCCAAAGGAAACTTGACCTTCTCATCCTTCATCTTGCCCAGGTAGATGGCCAGCTCACTTTTCTCGATGCCCTGAATGGTGGCAGGTTGGAGGGCCTGGGCCATGAGGATCAGCTGCATGAAATTGTTCAGCAGCTGCGCGTCCAGCCTGGCAGCCTCGTCATCAGCAGCCATCTTTCTACCTGCTGCCTTCTTGCACGCACTGATGGTCCGCCCGTCCACCTGGCCGTCCATCACCAAGGACAGGTCGATCTTGCTCTTCCAGTACTCCACCGTGTTGCTGCCTGGCAGGCAAGGCGGGGCCCCTCGATCACACCACTGCCATCCAACCTCCATTATCCACTCCTCCTCCTCCTCCTCCTACCACTGCTCATCCCCCATCGTCGCCAACATGAAATAACTGCGGGTGTCTGGGGCGCCAGCCCACGAACCGCGCAGTTCCCTCGAGCGAGGGAACTGCGCATTTCTTTGAGATACTGATGTTTGGACAGGGACCCCAGGGCAATAAAGGCCAACCATGTTACACCTAACCAGAACTACACATTGACCATCAATGTGTAGTTCGGCGCGCGTCTCGGGCTGAGCCCCGCGTTCATACATGCACAATTCTATGGACACAACGATCGCGGCTAGCCTGCACTGCCAGCCTCCATGTAGCCAGCGGTGGACGCCGCGTCCCCGTCCTCGGACATGCCGCCGCCGAACTGGGACGCCGACTCTCTCGGGGACCCGCCGACGCAGCTCGCCGAGCCCGCGACGCCCGAGCCTGCGCGCCGAAGGGGTTCGGCCTGCTTCGGCGGGGTGCCGCCTGGAGGCAACGCCTTGCCCCTCTGGCCGAGAGGCGCAGGAAGGGGCGCTGCGCAACCAACCAGCTCGACGTCATCATCGTCTGCAGGATCATCCGATGCGCCGCCGCCTGTCGAGCCGTCGGCAGCTGCGCCCTCGCCGCCGCCGCCCGCCTGACCCTCGGTGCCGCCCTCGGTGTTCTCGCCGAGCCTGGACTGCAAGAAGTCCTCCAGCTTCCACAGGTAGCCCATCTTGTCCTTGGTAATGATGTTCATGATGCCCTTCTCGTTGTGCATGAGCTGCGTCCTGTGGGTGCTCATCACGGGCCCCTGGTTGGGCCACAACTGCTTCGTGCGGTCCATGACGAAGCGATCGCGGGAGACGCCTGTCCGCGATACCACGTCCACGGTCCTGTAGGGCACCATCGGGTTGACGAACCAATACGCCATCTCCCAGCCATCCTCATCCTCCTTCGGCACCTCCGCGGTATACAAGGAGCTCGTCGCAGCCTTCGTGATGCGCCTAGCGCCCAACGCCTTCCTCAAGTCGGACTCCGTCAAGACGATGTACGACCTCCTGGACTCGATCGTGTGCTCCGTGCGCTCGGCGACCTCCTGGACGGGCTTCGGCGGCGGCTCGTGCTCATTGAACACCTTCCTGGCGGTGAGCACGGACTGCTTGATCTCCTCGTCGCCCTGGCTCAGCTCGCAGAGGTCGTCCCACTCCAAGTGGCTGAACGCGTCAACCCACAGGGAGAAGCACTCCTCGCACTTGTTGCCCATCGCCACCTCCATGGTCCCTGCGGTCTTCTTCTGCAGCTTCCTCAGCGCCCAAGGCTTCCCGTCCTGCTGGCCCGCCCGCACGCCCCCGACCTCTCGCGAACCCCGCGCGCGAGGAGGGGCCGCGAAGGGGGTTCGCGAGCGGCGTCGGGGGCGCGCGGGAGGACGTGGGTGAGAGGCAGGGGGTGGCCGACGGCTCGACGCGACCAATGTCCTTGGCCATCGCCTTGCACAGGCCGCACTGGCAGGAATCGCCCACGGGCTCCTTCCTCATCGGCGCCCTCTTGGCAGGGATCACCCCGGCGACGGAGCCCGCCGCCGATGTCGCGGCGCTGGCCGCGCTGGCGGCGGCAGGCGTCCCAGGCGCAGGCGACTTCGCCTCCGAACCTGCTGGCGCCCTCTTCGTCGGCCGAGGCTTCGGCGGAGGCGGAGGCGGCCCCATGGCAGACCTGGCCTTCTTGGGTGGAGGCTCGCCGCCAGGCATGGCGAGGGGGCGTGTCTGCGCCAGGCGCTGGGTGCCACAACCTCCTGCCTGAAGCAACTCAGGAAACTCATGCGCCAACACGGCTGCAACTGCCCGAGATCGCCCACGCTAGGCCCCATGGGCCGCCCCTGGACGCTCGGACGCAACAAATGCCACATAACGCCTTTACTGCCCCCCCCCCCTGCGGCGCCAATGGCAAACCGAGGAACCGCAGTGAACGCCGACGGCTCCGACGACTGCCCCTGCCCCAGGCTCGCCGCCGCGGCCTGCCCCGACGAGCGGAGGAAAGCGGCGAACGTTGCGCTCTGGCACGCGCGGCCCCCCCCTCGACGCCAAACATGCCCATCGCAGCCCCCTGAGGGGCCGCCTTGCAACCAAACGAATGACAAACGTGCAAAGGCCGCGATGCTGAGAAGACGGGTGGCACGCCCAATCCTGCTACTGACGCAACTCCGACCGTAGGCGCCCTGAGGCCGACACGACAGCCATGCCACATTCGGCAGCGTACAGACCCCGCAACCATAAGTTCACACACGCCATGCTTACGCACAAACCATGAAAAAACCAACGCGCCCCCGCACACGCAAGCCATGCACGCACACGCGCATGATACGTTTGCCTGCGTGGCGTGGACACCAAACAGTTGTTTCTAACATTACACGCGGTGCAATGCATGCGGTAGAACACATGACGTACAACCTACGATGCAAATTCCAGGAAGAACCCGTAAGTGCAAGCACTGTTTGGGGGAACTGGACGGTGTGCTGCTGCGCACAAACGCACAGCGTGCCGTGCCCCTCCCCCCCCCCCCCGCAGCCTCCCGCGGCGGCGCCCTGGTCGCGCCCGCGCGCGCACCCCCGATCGGTCGACGGATTGCCAGCCGTAAGTTCCTACCGTCAAGCTAAATACTGGTTGCGCATGGGGTGCGGGCGTGCACGGCTCTGGCCAGACAATCGGTCACAGTGCACAACTTCGCACAAGTGGCACTGGTAATCCCATCGCACAAGCCAAAGTAAAATGATGTGCACCCACGGGCCAACCAAGTGTGCGACGCGCGACAACACTGTTGTATTACCATGTACTAACGCAAGGGAAACACATACATCATGCATTCGCCTGCAACACATACAAGGGAACCCCTACAAAAAAGTGAAGAAACAATACGTATAAACCCGTTAACAACACAAACACAAACGCGCAGCGAAGCTGGCACCGTTGGGGTAACGGAAACCGCGCACACTTAACAGCATCGGCGGGCGGGGATATGCACGACGTGAACCCCGAAAAAGAATGTCGCTTGCCACGTTTGTGCATACGATGGCGGAACACATCGGCATGGTGGATTCTGCGGGCTGGGCGCAATCGGCGCACCGCGTTTGTATTGGACAGGCGGAAGGAAAACAATGCTTGGGAAACGCAGCTTGAAAAGTGCTGCCGGAAAAAAAAAAAATAAAACAAAAGCGCGCAAAGCAAACGCAGCGCGCTTCCGCGCGCACACCGCGCAACCATCGGCAACGCTGGTTTGAAACATTGCCATATGGCTTTCCGCGGCGTCATCGTTCTCACAAAGGAAGAAACGCTAACGACATGACGCGGTCGAACACGCATGCTTCGAGATGCGCGGTGCGTATTGAACGCTGCCCATCTTGCTGCAAAACGCGCGCGCGTTGCTCCCCTCGCAGCCAGCCCCCCCCCCCCCCCCGACCACGGTGCAAGCCCCCTCGCGCGGGGGGGGCAGGCGAGGGGGCGACGGGCGGAGAGGGGGGGGGCTGCGGTGGAAGGGGGCAGGTGCGAGGGGCGATGCTCATCGCGGTCCATGGGGCCCTGGATGTTGCAGAAGGGGGGCATGGCCATGTTGGAACGGGCGGGGTGCAATTCGAAGAAGCCCAAGAAGCTGCCGACGCCCCTGGGGAGGCACTGGCGAGGGGCTGGGGACACACCTGAATACAAGCAGCAGCGGCAGCTGCGGGCGGCAAGCGCCCCTGCCCACGATCGAGCTTCTGCGCCCATCAAGCTTTACGGACAGGAGCTGCCCTGTGCGACTGTCACGTTTTCGCAAAGTAGCTTGAGGGCCGTGGCCGCCTGTCGGGCGCCGACGCGACCTTGCCCACTGCTGGTTGTCGGGGCAACAGTGTTAGCAACCAAGGGTTCTTCGCAGTGCTGCGCGTTCCTTCGGCGGCGCTACTGGAAGGCAGCCGCCGCGCGTCGGGCCTGGCAGCCCTCGTGGTTTCCAGGGGGGGCCGACCAAAAGGGCCAGCGCCCCAGCGAGCCCCAGCGCCCCCGCCGCGGTCGCCCCCCCCCCCCTCCCCGCTCTCCTGCGCGATCGCGCGCGCGATCCCAAGAAACGCACGGGGCGCTGCTGGCCTCGCCATGCCCAGGCGCAAACGGGGCGCGCGCGGCGCCGCAAATGGCCCGCGCGGGCTGCGGCACCAACACCGTCGACCGATGGCGCGGCGCCGCAAAACACGCAATCCGCGACGCACGGGCAGCACGTCCTTCCCGCGCTCGCGCGTGCCAATCCTGCAGCAGCGCGCACCCGCGGAGCGCTGCCCCCGCCGCCATCGCCCTGCGCGGCGCTGCCGTCGTTCTGCCGAGCCATTGCGGGCGCCGCCAGCCCGCGCGCCCAGCCAGCAGCGGCGGCCCAAGGTCAGGCGGCGTCGTGCTGGCTGGGCTGGGGCGGGCCTGTCTAGGCCCTGGCCAAACTGGTTCGCGCCCAAACACAGCTGGGAAAAGGATGGGCGTTGTTCGGCTGCGCTGGCGAGCTCGCTCAAACGAACGTCTTATTCGCAGCCCCATACTCGTCGGCCCCGACGGCGTTGCGCGGCGGTGGCGGCCCCGAGGGCTGCGGCCTGACCATGCGCGCGCTGGCCCGCATCCCCGAGCTTCTTCTGCGAACACTGGAAGGTGCATGCTGCCTCCACGCAACACTGCGCAGATCGCATGCAACGCTTTCCAAACCCTCGTCGCGCGCCGTGGGTTCGACCTCTCTGGGCCCAACGCTATCGGCGACATTGCTGAACTGTTGCGTCGCAACCCGAGGCGGCCGCCGCTGTCACAGCCGTCGTGTTCCACTTGATTGCGCCGGCCACGCTGCGCGCTAGGCCGACGGCCACGCGGCACCTGTTCCCGCGCGCGGCCGCGCGTCTTGCCCACGGCGGCCCCAGCGCGGACCAGCGAACCGCTGCAAGCAAGGGTTGGAGGAACTGCGGTGCACGCAGAATAGCGCCGTGGCAGAGGACCTGGTCTTTTCGCACAACGACAGCCCCACTGTCCGAAATCGGCACCCCGACGCCGCCCGATCGCACCCCGCCTGAGGCCCCCAGCTCCACGCCGAGCGAAACGCGCGCGCCCGCTGCGAAGCGGTGCGTGTGGGGGGAAGGGGGGGGGGGGAGGTGGGGCATCTGGAAAGGTGCAAGGGGACTGCGAAAAAAGCCAGCGCCCGCGCTGAGCTGCGCCCACAATTGCGTTTTCCTGCATGGCCCGCGGGCGCCAGCTGGATCTGCCCCCACAGCGCCGATGTGCCCAGGAGGACCGCGCCCTGGCGCGGCAAGGAGAAACCGAAAAACGAACGGGCGCCTACCAAATTTGGATTCGGCAGCGGTGTACAGCGCCCAGAAGTGGCTCATGGCCCAGCAAGTCCCCGAGCCCGCGCTACCCGCCAGTGGCCGCAACAATGCCCGAGCAGCACGCCGCCAAGCCCAAAGTGGCAAGCCACCCACCGAGTCGCCGACGCACCCACCGCGATGTTGGAGCCACCTTCAGCCGCTCATTGGTCGCAGCATCAGCGATCCGCCCGCGCCTCCAGGCTGCGGGCCCCTTCGCCATTCGCAGCGATGTTTCGGGCGACCCCCTGCACCTTTGGGCACCGATGTAGCCATCGCCCCCGAGGCACGCCGACATGCGCGGCGATCGCCGACGGCCGCTGTGTGCGCCGACTCCGATCGCTCAAGCCTGCCACCCCCATCATCATCGCAGCCCTCCACAGCCCACCCCCCCCTCCTCGCCCATCCCCCACCCCCTCGTCCACCAACTCCCCCACAGCGCGCCCCTCCACCCCACCCCCTCGCTCCGTTCGCATGCTCGCCCTGGTCGCCCCCCCCCGCCCCGCCCCTCCCGTCGCCCCCCGCACCCCCCGCCCCCCACACACCCCCACGCACTCCCCCGCCCGCCCTCGTCGCCCCCGCCGCAGTCGCAGCCGCCGCTCCCAGCAACCGCGCCCAGCCGCGCGCGGTGGGGGGGAGACTGATGGCGGGCGCGGCGGAGGGGCTCGCACCCGCTGCAACCAGCGCCGTCCACTGACGGATTCTCAATCGGACGCCTGCCGCGCGACTTCGGCCGCGGGCGCCGCGCGCGGCCGCGCAAAGCTCATCGCGCAGCTGGGGCAATGCGCGCACCAAAACAACGCCCGCCGACGTCGCTGCCGCGACGCGCCCCATCTGCCCAGCCCGCTGCTCCGCGCCACCACGCGCGAAGCGGCGCGAAACCCGCGCAAGCTTGTTGTTGCGTGGCGTTGCGAGCTCACCGACTCCATCTGCCTCGGGCCGACCCAAATTGCGCCGCCGCGCCGCGCTAATCGCCTCGGGGGCACGCCCCGTCAATTTGTCACGCGCCGCCCTGCGAACTGGCGGGGTCGCGCCGCTCGGGGCCGCTGGTATGTCCGCGGCCACGGCGCGCCCACGCCGCGGCCGCTGCGCGCCTCAGCGCGAGGTCGCGCCCCGAACGCGCGCGCCCGCGTTCGTTCCCCTCATGGAAACGTTGCAGCCGACCCCATGGCCCGCCCGCAAGCGCCACCGACGGGCGCCCCCCCCCCCCCCGCCCACCCCTAGCACGTTGCCCGCGCCCATCGCGCGCCCGCCCCAGCATCGACCGCCCACCTTGGCAATCCCTCCAACCAAACGCGCAGATATGACGAGAATGGCGCGCAGCCCCTCGGGCGGCGCTCGCTCATTCGCCCGCGCGGCGCCGCTCTGCCGCGCCGCGAACGCGCTGGGCGGCCGCGG